TGCAGTCCCATTTGAACCTAAGATCTCAAGATCTAGGCTTTGGTTTTTGCCGGATAGCTATGCCGGCACAGAGCACATACACCTAGAGAGATCACACATCAAATAAATGAAGGACCTGAACAAATTGAGGTCATAAAGGTCATGAATCGGAGTTCTGAGACTACTTTGATGGGCTAGTTTTGGAGTGAGATCATCAAGAATCTTTTTTTTTTTTTGCAGTTTTTGGCCGGGGTTGGGTTTGAACCCGCCACCTCCAGCATATGGGCTTGGCGCCCCACTCCTTTGAGCCACAGGCGCCGCCCCGATCATCAAGAATCTTAAAAACATAAAAGAATGAAACTGCCTTACATACTTTCTGGAACAAGGCAGAATATAAAGAAAAAAGCAGATTTTAAAATTGATGCAATGAGCTTGTAGGCAATGGGGAGCTCCTGAAATGAGCTATAAAGATCGCACACAGGCAAAGTGATGGCAGCAGGGTTTTGGAGAGGGTGGTGGAGAGATGATCCGGAGATGCTCTGCCCTGGCTGACAAGCAGCCTGCAGGCATCCAGCAGAACAGCACTGCCATGTCTTAACCACCAGCATGGCTGCCCATGGGCAGATGTTGGCCTATGAACAGAAGACCAGTCTAGAAATACTGGGCTTTGCCTCAGAGGAGGAGGGAAGGGTTCAGGGAGAAACAAGATGACTCCGTTACACATTAAGTATCTTAAGTGTTTAGATCACAGGGGACTCTGGTATGTATTGGAAGGTAAAAAGGAGGAGACAGTGGGAACAAGTGAGGAGGCAAACCTCCTCAGGACTGGGGAGGGGACAGGACACCCAGGGCCATGTGTGGTGGTGGTGGGGGGAGGGTCCACCTCTTCAACCTAGAATGCACAGAAAGGTGGAGCCAAAGATCACACTTGCATTTCATAAATGTTTATAGAGGTTCATGCCAGTTCAAGTCATTTGCTGATAAGAAGTGTGGCGAGGAGACTGATGTCTTTCAAACACGGATGTTCATCTATTAGGATCAGGTTGTCTACAAATAGGGCAGAAGTTAGCTGTTACCAATCCATGTAGGAAGAATTATTTTTGTCCGCATAACTTGTTAAAAACAAACAAAGAAATCCTATTCATTGAGACTCTGGTTGCATGGCACTCAGGCACTCAAGCCAGCTTAAACAAGAAAGAGACATTTATTATCAGATTACACTGGTGTCCCTTGGGACCCGAGAGCCCCAGAACTACAGAGTCCTCAGGAAGGCTAGTGGCTCTGCCCTAAGCTTCTGCGAGCATCTGCTCTCTGTAGACTGGCTTCTCCATCTATGTGGCAAATTGAAGATGGCCTCACACAGGCATAACTTTGTATCTCCTTTGTTGGAGAGATCAACCCTCCCTCCACCCCAATGTATTAGGTTTGTTTCTCTTCTGCAGGGGAGGGGGAGGCAGCTCCACTAGGCTTAAGCTAATTAAGGAGGGAAGGAGGGAATTTAACAGCTCAAATAACCAAAAATCCCAGGCCAGCTGGATCCAGGTGGTTGAACAATGTCCAGAGGAGACAAAACCTGCACTGGCTGCATTCTCTGCTGGTTTTGTGCTTCACATTCCCTTCCTTTCCCAACAGGCTGGTTCTTTGAGAGTCCTAACATGTCTCAGGATACGGGCTCCAGTTAAGCCCACCGTGGGTCACATGCTTACTGCAAAACCCCCCACGGCCAGGTGGAAGGAACATGCTCATTGGCCAGGCCCGGGGACATGTGCCTGGCTGCAGAGCTAGGGCTGAGGTTAGACTGTAGAGATCATGACCTACTGCAAACACAGAATAGTAACACCAGATGCTATAGAAAGTTAACTGCTGGGTACAACTCATTTCAGCCTCAGGTTATCTTTTCTGTGTACAAATTTAATCATCACATTTTTCCTGTTTTATAGATGGGGATGTGTCAATTGTGTCACAGTTTAATACATTTCACCATAGCCCTCATAGCTAATAAACTGCAGAGCTGAGAGTTGACCTAGGGTGTGGACCTCAGCAGTGGGAACTGCCACTGGGAAAATGAGAAGTAATAGATGGGTGGAAATAACTAACAGATGTTTAATAGCCCCTCGGAATTCTCTGAATTCTCTTTCCTTTTCCTGGGAAAGGCAGCTGGTGGGCATCAGGATGAAGCTATACCAAGGTTGTACCAAGGTGGCTGCTTCTACTGTGATCTCGTACACGGGCTAGTTCCAGAAAGCAGAAGGGACAAAGCATAAGTGTCCTTCTACCAGTATTCTCTGGTAAGGAGTTATAAGATTGGGGAAAGGCAATTTCAGGTATGCAGATAAAAGTAACAAGCTATCAACCAAAGACCTCTGTGGGTACTTGTTTTCTACCCCACCCTAAATTCTGCTGCCCACAGGGCTGAGTAGGTAGGTATAAGAGGCCAGCAATTGGAAGAGACACAAGGAGTTCCCTGAGCTGGAGATGCCTGGGCACGTTCTCCTTTTAGTTGTAAGGGTGGTGTCCAGTCCACCTTCTTATAAGAAAAAAAGCACAATTTTATAAATTATTATGTTACGAATAAACTGCATTTTACAGTTATTCAAATAATGCAGACAGTAAATCTACCTTATTGCATATATACCCCCAGAGAGACCGTCAGTGGAAGCAATTATCAGAATCACATTTTAATAAAGGTGCTGTGTAATCTTTTTTTTTTTTTGGCCTGGGCTGGGTTTGAACTCGCCACCTCCTGCATATAGGACCAGCACCCTACCCTTTTGAGCCCCAGACGCCACCCATTGCTGTATAATCTTAAGGTGATGCTGACGTGGGGGTGGGAATCATGATGAGGCAGATCACTGAAAAAAGGACCTACTTTTATGCATACCTAAACATTCAGACTTTAAAATGCTACTTTTTTTTTTACACTTTTGAATCTTCATGGCTCATTCATAGCAGTATTCTGTCAGCTTTTGCTAAGTTACACTGTAGCAACCCCAAATCTCAGTAGTTACTTGGTTTCTTTTTTGTTTCACATTATTTCCCAGGTCAGCTGTGGCTCTGCTCCAGCTGAGAACCTGGGGTCAAAGAGCTCCCTAGTCTGGACCTGCAGTTCTGGAGCAGAGGAGAAAGTGATGGCATAGCCAGAAAAGGGACCCATTCCTTGTGCTTCTAATTGGTATGAATTAGAACACTGATAGGCCCAAAGGGCTTTCTTGTCTATTATTGTTGAGATAAAGTAAATGACTTCTTCCTAGATAACCTGTATGTAAATGTAAAGTACTCTATGTTAGTAGAGTTCTTGGAGAGGTTGAGAAAGTTTCATTTTTCGGTCAGGTGTATGAGATGGGTAGAAAAGATGGAGTATAGGGAGCAGGAATGGTGGAGGGGCCAGAATCTCCCTGGCAGGGAGGCTTCTTGGATTGGGAGCCTGGGATGTAGGGAGGTATAGTAATTAGTCAAGGTCATCCCATTTCAAGTGTCCAAGGAAGAATTTATATTTCCAAGTTTTCTCTGACCCCCAAATCCATGCTTTCTTGTGCCCAACGCTGGATCTCTAGGGGAGAGGATCATGCCTGTGATCCTAGTAATCCTAGCATTTTGGGAGACCCGGACAGGAGTTGAAGACCAACCTGAACAAGAGCAAGACTCAGTTTGTTAAAAAAAAAAAAAAAAAAAAAAATTAGCCCAGAGTGGCCTGTGCCTGCAGTCCAGCACTCAGGAGGCTGAAGTGAGAGGATCGCTTGAAGCCAGGAGTTTGAGATTGCTGTGAGCTCCGTTGTGAACACCGTCGACTGTATCTCACGCTACTGCACATTAGCGGGGGAGACAGAACAAGACCCTGCCGCAGTAAAAAAAGAGGGGGAAACAAATAGAGAAAACAAGGACAAGAAAAGGAGGCCCTACAAAAGGAAAAGAAAAAGCAAAGTTGAGGCAGAAGCAGAACAGAGCAGCACAGAAAGTAACAGAGACAGGCGAAAAGGAGAAACTAAAAGAGAAAAAAGGAGAGGGAGAGACGACCAGGAAAGAAAATAAAAGTAAAGCCGCTCACTGGTGGTCTTCAAAGTTCACTTAAGTCACTTTCATAGCCGCAAGCCCCAGCCTTCCCTTGGAAGGTTAGGAACTGTTGAGAGAGGCTGGCGCGCCGCCTGCGGGTCGGGAGAGGCCAGGGACGGAGTGGTTAAGGCTTCTCCCGACCAGCTCCGGCCTCTCGCGGCAGCTGATCTCGGGTGGCGGGCCAGGTGTCGCGAGTTTACTCCAGTTGGTGCTAATGTGCAGCCGGGGCTGACAATCACCGTGATAACAGCAGCGTGGGGTGACAGGGCTTAGCGTCAGGGTCCAGGAAGGAAAAGAAACCTTCCCCAAGAAGAGGATGCCGGCCCTGCGCGGTCACTCCAGCCGTGCGCTCGCCACGAGCCTGCGGCCATGATGCCACGCCGTTGCCACCTGTCATGTCAAGCATGGGTGTACCAAGGCCAGGTGCGCTGTCTGCCCCCGAGGGAGGGAGACGAGGGCACCGGGGTATACGGGAGCCGCCCGGGCAGCCCCCGGAGCTCCAAGCGCACAGCGCCGGCCTCATCGTGCACTCCTTGCATTTTAAAGCCAGGCCCGGGCGCCACGTGCCGGCTCCTGGTTCGCGCGGTAGATAAGGGCTGTGTGATTTTTCACTCGATGGCTACCAAGCAGCCAATTCCGCCGCTTCGGACCCCACTTTGATGACACGGGGACAAATGGATAACCATGCATTCTTCGGAGAGAACTTTCTCCACTCGCTGACTCGCCAGGGCGTAGTTTTAAGTAGAGAGAAGGAGCGAGGCCGGGCCCCGCAGCGCCCTCCGGCCCCGGCCGCCCTCCGACCCCACCCCCGGCGCGCCGGGAGCTCCGGAAGCGCGTGTGCGCCGCCTCTGGGCTGTCTGGCTTTTTAAGGGCCGGGGTTTCCGCAACCAGCCTGGGCGGGGAAAGCGTGGCGCGCGTGCGACGTGGGGCCGCCTCCGGAGCCGTAAGTACTGGCGTGGCGGCGCCTCGGTCCCCAGAATCTCCCGGCCCAGCCACGGAGGCGATCGCGGCGCGCCTTTGGCCTTCCGCAGGGAGACTGCCGGCACTCTCGGGGTACAGCGGGCGCCCCGCGCGGCCTGGAGGGCCTGACGGGCCTGAAGGGCCTGGTGGCCGTCCCCCCAGTCTCCCACTCCCACGCCCGGCAGGTTGCCGGAGCCCTGGGCCCACCGGAAGGAAAGGCACACCTGTCGACCCTTTGGCGGGGAGGGTGGGGCTCAGTTTTAGGGGTCTGGGGAGGTCTCAGAGCTGAGGACGCCGAGTCCTCCCCGGACCTACCAGTGTCGTTCACCTTCAGTGTCGAGGAGATGGAACACCGTCGACCGTATCTTTGTGGCTGGTATCAAAAGGCAGGATAATCAATATTAATACCTAGTCTAAGTAAAGGTTGGGTTCCATTGTCACTACTGAACGCACCGATGGACCAAAACAAAACAGTAACAAAAGAACCCAAGCCTCTCGGCCGGCTGCTGCTCGGTCCAGGCGGGTCCCAGCAGTTTAGAAAGCGCTACTTTCTCCACTGCCCCGGGGGCCCTCAGCGGCCGCCGCGGCGTTCCCGAGTACGCAGCTCCGAATTCACCGCGTGGTAACGGTGCGGGGTATAGGGCCTCGGAGTCGAAACGCTGTGGGCCTTTTGCCGAGAGACATCCATTGGTACAAATTAAGAGCCAAATTTCACTCCCCATAAGACTCGAGGAAAAGCCATGCAAAAGAAATTAGACAAAGGCTTCCCCCCACTTGTTTCTTTTCTTCTTCGTTTGAACTTGTAAAACAACCTTAAACAAAATTTTCTGGCCAGAACATCACCCAGGATTCTTTTGCCCGACAGGTCTGAGCAGAGGGCTGGATGCAGGTGCCATGGCTCTGGTGCCCTATGAGGAGACCGCGGGAGTGGGGTTGCAGAAATTCCACAAGCCTTTTGCCACCTTCTCCTTTGCAAACCACACGATCCAGATCCGGCAGGACTGGAGGCAACTGGGAGTCGCAGCAGTGGTTTGGGATGCGGTAAGTAGTAAGCCCTTTCAGGTTGGGGGTGGGGAAAACGTCCACATTTGCTTGTAAGACTGGTGTTTATTAAAAAGAAAAAAACGATATAATTCATATACTTGACCTATTTAAACTGCACAATTCCGTGAGGGCTTTAAAAATTCAGTTCACAAAATAGTGCACCTATCACCACCTCAATTTAAAAACCTTTTCATTGCTGCCACTCCCAAACCCCTAACCCTTACCAACACTCCCCTTGTCCCTTCTGCCAACATAGATTGCTTTTAAAGGTGAGTGAATGAAAGCTGAGGAAAGTTAATAACTTCCCAGTCATTATCCCTAGGTAAGAGAAGATGGAAGAACAGCAGGAGCCCCTGACTGCTTTGTATGCTCATTGAGTTATTCTTTTTAAAATACTGCCAGAGAGTATTGTAAAATGACAAAGCCCAAAGTGAAGATCATGTGTTTTAAGTTTTCCATAGTTATCATTGCATAATTATACTTGCTTTTTTATTTCTTTCTGTCCCAGCACTGTTCTGTTTGAGGATAATGACTTGTGCCCTCCGCTTCTGGCGCCACTCCTAGGACTCAGTGGGAGCTCATTTATGTTGAATAAATGATTGACATAAATTGTACAGTTAGACTGTTTTGGCATTGTATTAGAGATGTTAGCAAAACACTTCGGAATGAAAATCTTAACATATTTTAACCTAGCAGTGCCACTTTTACAATCCTGTCCAAGGTAACTTCCTGAGAACTAGCTTCATAACAGTAAAGATGAGTAATAATGAGGAATGGGAAGCCTCCTAAATGCTCACCAACAAGAGAAATTGCCAATTAAAATACATGGCTGTGAAAAATAGATTATCGTAAAAGTAAACATTATACGATTTTTTTTATAGGATCATAAGCAAAAATTCACACATTAGTATCTAAAAACTTTGGCCAAAACTTACCTTCTGATGTTCAAAACATATGGTGAGGTCCCTCTATGGGCAGTGGCCGTCAGTGACGCAGCTCAGGGAACTTTAGGCACTGGGCTGCTTTTTTCCTCTGAAAAAAGGCCGTGCTGACCTAAGCTTGGTTAAGAAACTGGAGTTAGGATGTCCAGCCCTTGGCCCAGGGCTGCATATGGGTTATTGAGGACTTTTTTGCTTATCCTTGGTGGCACATATCAGGAAAATTAATCAATTATTCATGGAATAATAATTTTTTTTTTTTTTTTTTTGCTCATTGGTTTTTGTTTGTGTATTTAATGTGTGGCCTAAGACAACCAGTGTGCGTCAGAGAAGCAAAAAGGTTGGATACTCCTGTGGGACTTTCACAGGAGATCAGAGATTGTTCATGTCAGTTCTGCCAGAACAGTTTTGTTAAGTTTCAAGTGTAACAGTTTTGTAAGTTTTAAGTGCTGTTACAGTAACAAATTAAACATTGTAGATTCAGCAGGACCCCATGTTGTGAGGGCATGTTCCCTGACCACAGCTGTAGGACTTTGGATATGGTGTGTCTGCTTACTCTGGGAGGTTACCATACACAGCAGCTGAGTTCCCGCCTGTGTTGTTAAACTGGGAATTGAACCTTGCAGCGGGAGAGGGGAAGGTGTACTCGTGGTCTCTTCCTGCCAAACTAATGCATTGGTTGACCTAATCATAATCATGCTGTGTTTTGACTCAGGCCATCGTTCTTTCCACGTATCTGGAGATGGGAGGTGTGGAGCTCAGGGGCTGCTCTGCCGTGGAGTTGGGTGCTGGCACGGGGCTGGTGGGCATAGTGGCTGCCCTCCTGGGTGAGTGTGATACATTGGCTTACTGTTTAATGAGCAGAACTTGAGAGGTGCATTTGTTGGTTTCTTAGCACAAAACCCATTGTTGGCTTTGCCTTTACTAGGTTCTTTTCTTTCCCCTGTACTTAATGTGTTATGGGCCAGCTGCTGCTACTCTTCTTAACTCCAGTAAGGCTAACAGGCTGATTCCTCTCCCCCTCTCATCCTGTAATTCATACTGCTCTTGGAGATTGCTTTCCCCTCCTCAATTCCGTGATGCTGATAGTAAGGTGACTTTGATTTCAAAGGGAATAATCTTATCCATGTATGTAGTTTTTTTTTTAATTTTTTTAAATTTTAAGGCGCTTTTGTTTTTAATTTTAGTTTATTTTTCTTACATATACATGTGTATATTAGGTTTCCACTTTTGCCTTCACAGAATTAAAAGGCTAAATTTAATGACAATAATATTTAACATAAGGACTGAGAACAAAAACCTCATAAAGAACGAAAGAAGATAAATACATTCAGAAAAGAAATCAGACAATTGCTGCAATGAAATATTAGGCAGTAGTAATAGTAATAATGCAAAGAAAGTAACATTCCCATTATCAGATAGAAGTATGTCTATTATAGAATAATCGGTTAACTTCTTATTTTGTTTTTTCAACTAATATATTATTAAAAGCAATATGATTATATTAAAAAATATACTTAAAAAATATAGTTAAAAATATAATAATATATTTTTTCTAATTTTACTATCAGGGGTATCCAGACTAAGTAGAATGATTTTGAAGTATTTCTATTTCTGCTTTCTTTTCCATACACTGTTGGATTTAATCCTGGGAGGTAGATAGAGCAGTTTCCTCTATAGCTGAGGAAACTTTGCTGATTTTTCCCCTCTAGGAAGTGTCAGCTCCAGTATAGCTTGTACTGACAGCTTATGTTAAAAACTTGCATTAGCTAGGTGTGGTGGTGGTGGTATACACCTGCAGTCCCAGCTACTTGGGAGGCTGAGGCAAGAGGTTCACGTGAGCCCAGGTTTGAGTCTAGTCTGGGCAGTATAGTAAGACCCCCTCTCAAAAATAAATAAAATAAAAAATTGTATTAACAGTACACAGTTCTAAATTGATATCAAGGTTTATCATTTTACAATTTGGTATATAGACATTAATTTAGGCCTGGAGTATTTTTAAGCTTCATTATTTCTATTCACTGTTGACTTTTTCTACCTGACTTATACAGTTCAAGCTATTCAATGAGAAAGCTAGACCAGCTTCTGAGATTCTGTGTATACTATTCATCACTTCAGTTTTGGAATTCTTGTTAAAGTGAACGTTCTGATTCAGTGGGTCTAGAGTGGGGTCTAAGAACCTCTATTTCTTTTTCTTTCTCAAATTTTTTTTTTAAAGAGGGTTTCATTCTGTCACCCAGGTGGGTGTACAGATCACTGCACAGCTCACTGCAGCCTTAAACTTTTGGACGTGCACAATTTTCCTACCCCAATCTCTAGAGCAGCAGTTCTCAACCTGTGGGTCACGACCCCTTTGGAGTTTGAACCACCCTTTCACAGGGGTTGCCAAAGACTATTCTGCATATCAGATATTTATGTTATGATTCATAACAGTAGCAAAATTATAGTTATGAAGTAGCAACGAAAATAATTTTATGGTTAGGGGTCACCACAACATGAGGAACTGTATTAAAGGGTCGTGGCATTAGGAAGGTTGAGAACCACTGCTCTAGAGCATCTGGGACTACAGATGTGCACCACCACCATGCCTGGCAAATTTTTAAAAAAGTTTTTGTGGATATAAGGTTTGATTATGTTGCCTAGGATGGTCTCAAACTCCTGACCTCAGATGATCCTCCTTCCGCAGCCTCCCAAGTGGGTGGGACTAGACAGGTGTGAGCTGCTGTGCCTGGTGAGAACTTGTCTAACAAGCTCCCAGTGGTGATGGTTCTCGGACCACATTTTGGTAGTCAGGATCTGAGCTTCCAGAGCGTTTTGAATTCATCACATTATGTGCCGGTATTCTAGGACCTGCTAAAGTCCTTCTTTTGTTCTGATTTTCTTTTGGGAACTCTTTTATTTTTTTAATTTTTTTCAAGTCTACTTGACCAGCAGCAATAAGAACTCATTTCTTTTTCAGTAGTCCTTTTTTTACTTAGGCATTACTTTTTAAACTGTGATGGGGAGCATGGGCAGGGATGGTGGTTAAAAGTACAGTAGAACCTTAATGGTTGACCACCTCCCTACATTGACCACCTCCTTAAATTGACCCAACTTGCATAAACTGGGTATGTATAACATGTACTATGGCCTAGTTCCTGATGTTGACCACTAGTTTGTTGCAGTCCTTCGGGTGGTCGACTTACAGAGGTTCTGCTGTAGGTATAAATCTGTTGAGGTTTCCATTTGTTGGCAGCTACAGCACTTAAGTCATTGATGAGGAGGCCTTTGCTGGTATACTGCCTTTTTCTTTCTCAGGCAAGCTTTATATCTTCCCCCCTGTTTGTTAGGTATTCTTTTTAGTTTTCATTTTTCAAGTGAAACTGTCACTCTGGGAGAATCTCACTTTCTGAAGTCCTGATCATTAGAGATCTGGTGTTCTAAACTAGCCCAAGTATTTTCTTTTGATGATAACAACTTCCCTTTCTGCTGATAAGAGAAGAGGTAACTAGAAGGGGGAGTGAGATTTCTGTATCCTTCTGAGAACAAGGGCTCACTGTAAAACTTAACTGGCTGGTGTAGCGACGTGTTAATGTGGTAACATGCACATGTCTAGTTACACTTGGTTTTGATACCTCTTTTAACTCTTACTTGGGCAAGTGGCTTAACCTGTACACTTTGATTGCACCATCTGCACGATGGGGGTAATAATAGTATCGAGAGGGAGGAGGATCGAATGTGAGTGTGTGTAGCACTCTGTTAGCTCATTGACTGACACAAAAGAAATGTTCTGTGAGTGTTGATTGCTGATCTAGAAATCTCTGGGCTTGGGAAAGTTATGAATAAGATATTTAAGTATCATCACAGAAGTGAGAGATTAGTTAGTTGTTGCCACAAAAGACTTGGTTGGTTGTGTGAGTGGGTTAGAGAATAGCACAGTGTTGTTGCGATTGGGAGACGTGTGCTTCACTCTGCTCTCCGAGTCCTTTCCTGCCCCCCCCCCCCAAAGAATGCATAGCCGACACCTTTCTTTCCCTGGAGTGTTTGGAGCATCCCACCTCTGTCCCAGCTTTGCGACATCTGTTGTAGGCTGTTGTTTCATGGGGTCTGTCTCTCCTGGCAGGCTGAGGCTCTTGGAGAACGGGACCAGGGTCATTCTGTGTGTCCGTGGCCCTTATGCAGCACCTGGTACATGCTGGACACTCAGAGAATTCTAGAATAAGAGATGGCAGCCTTTCTGAAGATCGTGAAAATTAATGTTTTTGTTATAAAACTGATTTAACTATTACAAAAAGAAACCTAAAAGCATTGTAAAGAAGGAGAAAAAATGATTCTAATTATGACTCTGCGACGTAATTATAGTTAGCATTTTGGTATATTTCTTCTCTTTTTTCTCCGTCTGTATTTCTAATCATAGTTATAATTCTGGTAATATGTATGTGTGTGTGTATATACATATACACACACATACACAAATGATGTTCTGTTTAACATGTCATTAGCATTTCTCTGCCACTGTTTGATTTTCATACTCATTGTTTGTAATCACTACAAAGTATTAGGCTGGAGAAGTTTCAGTACTGAAACTTGATGGTATAGAAAAGTTAATCTCTTTAAAAAAGAGTCAGGTGTGCTAGCTCATGCCTGTAATTCCAGTGACTCTGGAGGCTGAGGTGGGTGGGAGGATCTCTTGAACCCAGGAGTTTGAGGCTACAGTGGACTATGATTGTGCCACTGTGTTCCAGCCTGGGTGACAGAGGGAGATCCTGTCTCTCTCTTTTTTGGGAGGGGGAGATAGTCTCACTCTGTCTCCCTGGATAGAGTACTATGGAGTCATAGCTCATAGCAACCTCAATCTGTTGGGCTCAAGCAATCCTCTTGCCTCAGCCGTCTGAGTAACTGAGACTACAGGCACCTGCCATGACACCCAACTATTTTTTTTTTAGTAGAGATGGAGTCTTGTTTCTGCTCAGGCTGGTCTTGAACTCCTGAGCTGATGCAGCCCACCTGCCTTGGCCTTCCAGAGTGCTAGGATTATAGGCATGAACCTCTGCACCCGGCCAGAGACCCTGTCTCTTAAAAATAAGTAAAAAATAAAATAGGAACAGAACCAAACAAGTAGTGATTCTGAAGTGTGAGAAAGGGATTGTTACTTTTTTGAAAGTATTTTTGTTTGTTCGTATACTTGGTTGTTTATTCCTGAGTTCAGGAAGCATCTCCCACATGCCTGGTGGATCACTGCAGTAGGGCAGACAGGGGTCTTGAGAGGATTTACATTCTAAATCTGATGGAAGGGAGTGGTAAAGAAAAAAGCCAAAAAAAGTAGGTGATAAGAATTTCCTGTTAAAAGAAGAATCAGCTTTGAGTGTGTTCAGAGCACACTGTGGGGGGAAAATGAAAAACCAGTTGCTAATTCCTGAACAGTTCCTGTGTTCTGAGGGCTGTGCATTTATAATCTCTCATTCGCACAGTGCCCCTGCCTGGCTCAGAATTCTCTTCAAGTGGTGAAATAGGCTGGGTATGGTAGCTCATGACTGTAATCCTAGCCCTTCAGGAGGCTGAGGCAGGAGGATCTGTTGAGTCCAGTAGTTTGAGACCAGCCTGGAAAGATAGCAAGACCCTGTCCATTCAAAACGTAAAAATACTAGCCAGGCTTGGTGGCACATGCCTATAGTTTCAGCTACCTAGGAGGCTGAGGTAGGACTTTTGCTTGAGCCCAGGAGTTTGAGGTTGTAGTGAGATATGATGATGCAACTGCTCTCTAGAGTGACTGACAGAATGCGACCTTGTCTCAAAAAAAAAGAGAGAAAGAAAAAGAAAAAATGTAGTGAAACGAAGGCTTAATGGAGGGTAATTTACCCAAGGTCACAAAGCTAATGGATAATGGTTAGAATTTGAATCCAGTTGTGAGTCTCAAACCCTGGTTCTTAGTTTGAAAATCTTCCCAGTCTCCATGCCACTTGGGAACTACTTCTTGTGGTTGCTTTTCATTGTTCAGTTACCTGTTGTCAGCCTCAGGCTGAAAATATGTGAGTACAGTGCAAGAAGACATTTTGTATGTGCATTCATACAACTTTTATTATAGTATATTGTTATAATTCTATTATAATTTTTTATTATTAATTGCTTACTATGACTATAAAGTTTACCCTGAGTATACATGTGTATAGGAAAAAACAAAGTATATATAGGGTTTGATATTCTGCATGGTTTCAGCCATTTGCTGGAGGTCTTAGAACGTATCCCCTGTAGATAGAAGGGGATTACTGTATTCACAAAAGAAAAATATCTCATCTTGAACATAGGATTCTGTAAGTTGGGCTGGGATCAGGGAATCTGGATTTTAAGAGCTTCTTTCCATGTGATTTGATGGGCAGCCAAGCCTTGGGATCACTGCCTTAAAATACAATGTGCAGGAGGGCAGTGTGTTTTACTTGTCTGTAAGTCTAGTGCAAATCTCCACTAAACTTTTGACTTGTGTTTTTAACTGAAAGCTGGGTATCTTTACCTGGCTATTTCCCAGTATCTCAACGATGCCTTTTTAAACCCAAACTCGTCTTGAATGCTTTCCAAATGTGTTCTTCCTCCTTTGTTCTGAGTTGGTATCCCTGTCCATGTAGTCACTCTCACCACCTTCTTGACTCCCACTGCTAAACCACCCAGATGATGTAGTCAGTGAAATCTACCAGACAAATGGTCTGTTTCTTCCCTGCAAGTTGCTAGGGAAGGAAAGATGGAAAGGACACTGATGGAATAAATGAGAGACTTAAGGCATCTTCTGCACTCCTGACCCCAGTTAAGCAAGAAACCCCAAACCCCAAACAGAACATGGAGAAAGCTATAAGGTTCAGGAATGGACATCTGGGGGATAAAACTTGAGTAAATAGTAAGGAGCGAGCTCTGAAAGCCAGGAGTGAGCGGCTTGTTTGTGGGCAGGCTGGGTATGGATGGGAGATGGCTTGTGGAGGGTGTCTGGGGACCACTGTGGCGTCCTCCTCACTGCTTTCCTTGGTTTTCACCTTGCTCCACTGCCAGAGATTCTGTAAAAGCCTAAGTCACACCATTCATACATTCCCTCAGTAGTTTCCAGTGGATTCCAGTGGCTTCCTCAGGAAAAGCCAAAGTGTTTTCTAAACATGGTCTACATGACCTGTGGGGTCCTGGATGACCAGCCTCCCTTCCCACGGCGTCTCTGACCTCATCTTCTGCAACTTTGTTCCTTGCTTGCTCTATTCCAGCCACTCCAGCTTCCCTGCCTGCCCCTCTAGGGCTTTGCACTTGCTCTTTCTGCCAGGAAAGTTCTTCCCCTTGATGTGCATTTGGTTATTCCCTCACTCCCTTCAGGCCTTTACCTGAGTCACCTTCTCAGTGACGAGAGACTGATCTAAGATGTCGTATCCTCCTCCCTTCCTGATGTTTCTTGTTTTTTCCTGCTTCATTCTTTTCATTAGTAAGTGTCACTAACATAACTGGACAGTCTGTTCTTTAAAAGACATCTTATTGCTAGTCTCTTCCCTTGGATGTAAGCTGTATGAGAGTAGAGATTTTTGTCCCATGACTGATGGTAGCTAGTGGTATTTGTAGAATTGACGGATGTTATGGGGGATGGTCAGCTGGCATTAGGATCCTGTTCACACTTCAGGGATACCTAAGTGTGTTAAAAGTAGCCTCCTAAATACCTGGAACAGACAGAGAAGGCCTATATCTTTTAAAGAGCTGTTAAAATGAAGACCAAGGTAATATGTCAAAGGCTAGATCACTCCAGCATTGCCAGCGGAGTGTTCTGTGGATTAAGAAGTCCAGACACAAAGTTCTAAGTCAAACTAGGAAAAGGCTGTCTCTAATTTTTGTCATCAGAAGAAATGAAAACCCTGATCTGCTCATCAGGCAAGACACTGTCACAAGGAACGGTCAAAGTGGTAGGTGCAGGCTTGTAGAATCTAACAACTTAGCCATTTTCATCAGCACCACACATTAGGACTGCACATGTCAAATGGAGTCGCATACTGGCTTAGTGTTACATGTGAAGATAAACACTGAGAGTGAGCTGCCGCTGAGGTGGTGCCAGAGCAGCTGGACTGGCCTCCTGGGGGGACACCTGTGGAGATTACCAGCTGAAGGAGGATGCAGGTGAGAAATAATTTCATGAAAGAGTGAAATGTAATTTTAAATTCAGAGCTTCTGGGACCAAACAAAACAGGATTACACTTAGGATATTGTTCCCACCACATAGAGGAGGCTTATCAGACCTTGCTGTGTGTGGTTGCCTTAAGGGTAACTTAAGGATAACTACAGTTCAGTCTTCTCTCATCCACGTTGGTTCAAAAAATTAAGTCTTTGTGTTCATCATTACACAAGAAACAGATTTCTAAAAATTTGCCTCATTAATTTTCTACACTGCATGTAGAAGCTTAGCACTTAACATCATCGATCTAGCATTTTCACTTACATTACTTTAATACAATTCAGTAATTTATAAGTTTACAATTTTTCAGTGATTATATGTGTATTACATAAACATAGGGTGGTGGCTTCATAACAACATGAGGAGAGGTGGACTGGATTTCTTAATAGCCTGTTTATCTCTTAACTGATCCTTTTTAAAACTTTAGCCCTACAAAACAGCCTTTTTCTGTTTTTACGTATCTTGTTATTTTTGTAGTAATAGTCTGCTCCCCGAGTTTTCATTCTTTTGAAAGTTCCATTTTACAGTTCCATTTTACCCTAAGGCAGCAGTTCTCAACCTGTGGGTCACAACTCTTTTGGGGGTCAAATGACCCTTTCACAGGGGTTGCCTAAGACCATCCCACGTATCAGATATTTACATTACGATTCATAACAGTAGCAAAATTATAGTTATGAAGTAGCAACGAAAATAATTTTATGGTTGGAGGTCACCTGAGGAACTGTATTGAAGGGTCGCAGCATTAGGAAGGTTGAGAACCACTGCCCTAAGGCCTACTGATTGAAGATCCTGACCTAATGAATGAAGTATGGGCGAGTTCTGCTTGCAGAATTCAGAAGCATCAGCTTCTGTCACTTTCTAACTGCAGTGGAGAGGCACAACTTCAGACAGCAGGTTTGTGAAAGCGGCAAATCAGAGGTTCACTGAACCCACAGACGGTGCTGAAGGAGGCAGTAGTTATTGCTTGGTTACAGCTGTCCATGAGGGTGACACTCTGAATTGTCAGGTGGAATATGTCAAGACACCCGACGTTTGACTTGATCCCCTCTCTGCCTGTTAAGAGTTGTACTGATGTGCACATTACTTTTTCTTTGTCCCACACTGTAGGTGCTCATGTGACTATCACGGATCGAAAAGTAGCATTAGAATTTCTTAAATCAAATGTTCAAGCCAACTTACCTCCTCACATCCAAACCAAAGCTGTTGTTAAGGAGCTGACTTGGGGACAAAATTTGGGGAGTTTTTCACCTGGAGAATTTGACCTGATACTTGGAGCTGATATCATATATTTAGAAGAAACATTCACAGATCTTCTTCAAACACTGGAACATCTCTGTAGTGATCACTCTGTGATCCTTTTAGCTTGCCGAATTCGCTATGAACGGGATAACAACTTCTTAGTGATGTTGGCGAGGCACTTTACTGTGAATAAGGTTCATTATGATCCCGAAAAAGATGTACATATCTACAAAGCACAGAAGAGAAACCAGAGGGAGGACTTATAATTGGCTGTAACTTGTACAAATGCTGTTTTGGGGTGTGTCCAATTAAGGTCTTAAATTGGGACTGTAACCATATTTAATGAAATGGCTTATTGTATAAAAAGTCTAACCAGAGGTTCTCAGGGGACAAAGTACATGTACAGTTTAAAAACAAAGCAGTGCTCTATCCTACTGTTGAAATTCAACATTAAAGAAACGTATGAAATTTTGGTTTAAGCTGTTTTTGTGTACCATGCTATTCCCTCTGGATAAAAACAGTTTTCACCGATGATGTGAAGGGATGATAAAAATCTTGTTTTGGTGAGGCTAAATCATGCAAACTATTTTAAGCATATTCTGACATGTGTAATGTTTAGCTCAGTTTTCTAATTTTCCGGATGTAAAAGATGATTGAACATGCATTCCCTGAGCTGTTGGTCCTATTGAATTCTTTTGCCCCATTTACATCTTAAACACCCTTGGTTGTTTGAGTAGGATGAGTTTTCCAAGGTCTTATATCAAGCTCTTTTGCTTAATTTCAGGTTTAGGTATATAAACAAGAAAATAAGTAAAAATGAAATTTTAGTTACCGTTGAAAAGCCCCTAAAAAATACACTGGAATAAGTTATCTTCAACTCAGAAGCTGTGGTTTCCCCTTCAGCTTTATTCTTTCTTAGATGTTGTCACTGTGTATTTTTTTCTTAGGCTTTCCCTGCCTCTTTGTAATGTGTGGGATGACAAAAAGTTTTTATTCAGGGTGGCACCTGTGGCTTACAAGAGTAGGACACTGGCCCCATATACCGGAGGTAGCGGGTTCAAACTGCCAAAAATTGCAAAAAAAAAAAAAGGTATTTATTTATTTTTGAGACAGAGTCTCACTTTGTTGCCCTTGGTAAAGTGCTGTGGCATCATAGCTCACAGCAACCTCAAACTCTTGAGCTCAAGCAATTCTCTTACCTCAGCCTTCCGAGTAGGTGGGACTACAGGTACCTGCCAAAATGCCCAGCTATTTTTAGAGATGAGATCTCGCTCTGGCCCAGGCTGATCTTGAACTGGTAAGCTCAAGCTTGGCTTCCCAGAGTGCTAGGTGTGAGCCACTGTGTTGGGCCTTCAAAAAAAAAAAGTTTTAAATCTCCTCTTCTCCTGAGAGTGCTGCTCCCCAAGTATAGGCTCCTGCTGTGCTGTGCTCGCTCATTCGGGGTGAGAATTCCCCAGTAGACCATGAGCCCAGTGAGAGGGCTTCTGCCTCTTTTGCTGTTTGCTTCCTGGTATCTGGCATACCATAACCAAATAAGAAAAAAGGGACATTTAGAGTGTATTGACCTTAGTGTTAAATGATTGCTACATTGTCTTTGGTAGACTTTTAGAATGAAGTTACACAATTTTTTTTTTCTTTCAGGTTAAATGGCTATTTGTGTTCCTCAGTGTCGTATTCAGAATGTTCACATAAATATATATTTTCAAAGCACTTTTTAAAAAACCGGAAGTGACTTAAATTAAGAGCTCCAAGGTATATTGTTTCAGGCATGTGTTACTACTCATCCGTTTATTAAGCCAGAAACACTTTAGGTAACTTTAAGTTCATAAATAACTGAGGTATACAGAAGCCTAGCTGGGATGGGACAGAATGTGCTCCAAGTGAGAAGGGGACAGCATAGTTTGATGCCTCTGGTAGAGCACTTGTGCTCCACTGTAATTAAGATTTCTTCTCAAAAATTTGAATGTGTCATCTTAGCACTCTGAGAGGCCTAGGCAGGCAGATTGTTTGAGCTCAGGAGTTTGACACCAGACTGAGGGAGACCAAGACCCCATCTCTACTAAAAAAAGAAAAACTACTGGGCATCACAGCGCCAGCTGTTTGGGAGACTGAGGCAAAGAGGATCACTTGAACCCAGAAGTTTGAGGTTGCTGTGAGCTATGATGATGCCAATGCACTCTATCCAAGGTGACAGAGTGTGGGACTCTGTCAAAAAAAAAAATTAAATATGACATTTTAGATCTGGCTGTCACTGGTTTGGTCCCCAAATTCTAATGATGTGCTAGAATCAAGTGGTTGCCTAGGAGGTCAATCCAAGCTTCCAGGTCAGACTCTTGTAGGCCTCAGTTACCCACACACGGCTCAGGAGGGCTGACTAACCTGCGGGTGGGGAAAACCTGCTTCAAAGAGGAAACACCATTCTAGCATAAATTGTTCTTAATTTTACTCCAGAAATTGTTTTCATTCTGAAGATGGTTGAGGCCAAGAAGATGTCCTCAGAGTGGCTTCCTCAGAGAGTTTATCCCCATCTGGCCACTTGCTTTGTATCACATTTCTAACAGCTGCCACATTTCTTCAGTGGCCGATGTGAAATCATTTAGTTCATGGTTAAGTAAGGTTTGCTGTTGTAGGAACTGGATCCTTTCTTCTGTCTGTAACTCCTCCCTCTACTTTTTGGCTGTTTTGTTAAAAAACTTCAGCTTGCCTTGGAAAGTTTCTAACAGCAGCACAGAGTCTGATGTGTGACCTGTCGTGGATTCTTGCCGTGTTGCCAGGTCTCATTGCCTAAAGCCTTTGCTCGCCCAAATCCCCAAACAGTTGTCCTTAAACTTGTCTAGTGGTTCGACCTCCTGGGTCAGGTCCTTCCTCTCTCCCTGAGCTTCAGTCAGCTTCTGGTGCAACTGCTTGTTGCTGGCCTGGCAGAGCTGGTTCTTACCCTTGAGCGCTTTATCTGATTTTTGCTTACAGGGGGTTTGTTGCCCTTTCTGACATTCCCCCTGGTGGCAGTGTCTGTAGCTTTCATCTGCCCATTCTCTCATCTCTGTTTGGTTATTTTTGTAACATTAGTCTCTGAATCTCTCAAATGATGATGTCTGGAAATGTGGACTTCTGTGGACCTTGCAGGTGATACTCTTCTTAGAAGTGGCTCAAGTTTATGTGTCTGTGGGCAGGGCTCTGCTCAGCACAGAGGGGTGCTGCAGGCTGTATGCTGCCTTATCTACTTGTCATCTTAACCAGGCAGCACAGCAGGGCCCCACGTGCCCACTGTTCCTGTCCGCAGTCCTTGTCACCCTTGTTCAGAAGATGGTCAGCTACAACCATTGTGCTGATGGCCAGATCTCTACAAATTTTTTTTTCCGACAATATAAAAGCTCAAACAATAGCTGAAACAAATTTAGACTATACGAATTTTACAATCTCAATATGGTATTAGAAAGAGATTTCTTTTACAAACATTAAAAACAAGGCCTCCTCCGTAGCATAAAGGTGAATTAAAAATTGTGAGCATTCTGTACCAGTTCAACACAATTCTGATAAATGCACACAAACCAGAAATAGCTAAGCTTACTGAATCCATAAAATCCCAGTACTGCACCATGACTATGGAAAGCCTTTAAAAACAAGTAAAATAAAAACATGGCTAGGTGGAGTGGCTCATACCTCTCATCCCAGCACTCTGGGAGGCCAAGGGGGTGGATTGCTTGAGCTCAGCAGTTAGAGACAAACCTGAGCAGGAGGAAGACCCTGTGTCTACTAAAAAAAATAGCCAGGCACTGTGCAGGTACTTGTAGTCCCAACTATCAGGAGGCTGAGGCAAGAGGGTCACTTGAGCCCAATAGTTTGAGGTTGCTGTGAGCTATGATGTCACAGCACTCTACTGAGGGTGACAAAATGAGACTCTGTCTCAAAAAAAAGAAAAAGAAAAAGAAAGCCTGGCAATATCACTGACTCTGCAAGGAATAGCCAGTTCCATTTAGGTATATTACTAAGTATGTTAGAGTTCAGTTCCTTTAGGATCCCTAACTTTGGAGATAGGTATTAAAATGTACGGGGGCAGGGTAACGTTCAAGTAGGGAGCTTTAGTAAGATACCTGGGTGCTCCACCAGGTGATATAAGCTGTTACTGGGTTATGTTTTACATTTTCATAAGATTAAGGATTAGGAAAGGTTGAAGGTAATTTGTCTTGTCCTAAAAATAGAAAAATAAGAAAAAAATCAGGAATAGTTTGATTAAATAAGTGAAAATCAAGTGATTTTTCTTTGAGTTTAGAATGTTATCTCAGGTCAGGTTTCCTGGGGAAAAAGATTCAGAAATGGAGATGAGGGTGCACAAAATTTAAACGAGAATGCTTTCTAAGATCAGGACTCTTGAGGGAATCAGAAGCAGGACTGGGAAAGAGGGAGAATGGAGCTGGGATGAAGTTAGGAAAGTGCTCAGCTATCTCTTTAGAGCTGGGATGTTCCTGTGTGGACTAATGATTGGACTGGACGCAGAAGGCATAACCTTGGGCTAAAGATAGTGCTTGCATTGGGACTCAGTAGCTGTTAGCCACTAGCATTCCCAGAAGCTGGACGTTATTCCCAGAGCTGCTTCAGGGGTAGGGGTGGGGTGTGAGAAGAGAGGGGGAGTAAATGGCAGCACACCAGTGGTCACTACAAATGTCAGCGAAGTTGGGACATATTTTTTACTTATGTTAGATGTTTTAATTTATCCTATAAATCTACATTTTAAGTGTGCTTTTGTTTTGTTCGCAGAAAGATAAAGATAGAAACATTGCCCGATTTTCTTTGAATTGTAATAAAGTTTTAAGTAATAGGTATCAGTAACTTTTTCCTCAAGATCAAATACTGCTGCCAAGAGGCTATGTTAAAATAACACATATGACACCAGGTTCTTAGAACTTCACTATAAAGAATGTTACTATGTTATAAGTAGATCACCTCTTAGGGGTAGCTCACAAGAGATGGCCTGGGCATCATTTGCAAATAGTTTCTAGTTGAACATTCATTCTTTTAACAAAAAGATCAAAATTCTAATTGATCAAAATACTTGTTAACTGGACACTAGATTGAAAACTCAGGGCCGAACAGTAACATTGTTTAGAATGTTTTATCTTAGCACTTTATATCTCCAGTGTTAACACAAGGTAAGGGACAAGTTTTAAGGGATATATATAGGCACAGTGGCTCACACCTATAATCCTAGCAGTTTGGAAGGCCGAGGTGGCCAGTGGGTTGCTTCAGGGTAGGAATTCAAGACTAGCCTGGACAACATAGTTCAACTTCATCTGAGCTAGGGACAAAAGTCATTTAGCCGAGATCAGTGGCTAATGCCTGTAATCCTAACACTCTGGGAAGCCAAGAGGGGGTGGATTGCTTGAGCTCAGAAGTTTGAGACCAGCCTTAGCAGGATTGAGACCTCTTCTCTACCAAAAATAGA